GGGGACCCGCTGAGTACGGCGCTTTTTTACGGCGCGGCACTGCAGCGGGTGGAAGTGCAGTCTCGCTGAAGGATGCCAGGCGAGTCCTCAGAGTCACCGTAGGCAATCGCTCGCAGTGAGGGCAGCCGCCGTCGGCGAGCGCGAGAGCTGCATGATCCTCTCACAGGCAGGAAACGCATCACATGGCGGTCCCCATCGCTGAGTGTGGCTCGGCACGAGCCACAGGAGGATGGCATCTTTAAAAAGACGCGGCTCTTTGAGATGATAGACGTGTGAGTCGCGGGGCGAGCACACACACAAACACATACACACAGAGCAGAGTAAAGGATATATAGTACGCCGGAAAGCGCAGCAGGTACGGCAGTTGAAGGCGGCGAGGCCAGCGACTCCAGAAGCTCGTCCCGCTGAAAGGCTTGCGTCGACGGCGCGCCTTCTCACTCCGGATCCAGCGATGCGAGAGGCTTCGCTGAAGAGATGAAAATCAGTGTACCAGCCTTATCGAGCTATATTTATAGGGCGAGACCACGCCCTTTCTGGCGGGACGTGACGAAATGGGCGCGAAATGCCCCCATTGGATATGGTGTCACGCAGCGCCTCTCTCGATAGGCTGCTGCTGTTGCAGCAGGGCAGCCAATAGGCGCGCGAGCCGTCCTGCCTATGTCTGCATGCTGCTGCACAGCGTTTTACATTAATTCAAAATTAAGGATAATTTTTGGCTTCAATATCTCGTGGAAAAGAGGTTTTCCCCATAGCGTAAGATATTACGCAGTACGAGAGATACTCTCGTAAGAGAACTGTGGTTTTCAATCAGTTTGGGTTTGCCAGTGGGGGACTAGTTCACCACAGATGTCCGGTTAGAGACATGAAGAAGCATCAGAAAGTTCTCTTTATAGCTTTATTTTCTCCACAACAATTCCATAAAGCTCCAATCAAGGTTTAGCACATAAGTGCGGATGAGTACAGTCAAGATGCCATGAGTATGGGTGTGTGTGGTCTAAAACAAAGCATATAATATATATCAATATAACATAAAAGAAACGATTCAATAACAAGATAAATACATACGAGATGTAGCAGAAATGCTTCCATGAAACATAATCAACATCATGTGAATACGTGAACACAAAATCAAATCCCTACTTCTATGTGAAGTATCCTTAAACAAGGAGTAGACAAATAGTATCAAACAAACAAATGCATTTCATCAAACAGTTAACATAAGTTGAAATACATAAACCTACTTACTTGTACAATATACGCACACCTCAATGGCAAGAAAGCACAGAGTCTGTTTGCTATGCAAAGCTATTAACTACAAATGCTAATCAATGCCACCTGCTGGAGATGGGCAGAGCCTAGTGTCTTTACGTTGCTGCTTTGACAGCATGCTCTGACATTGGCTGATTGCCAGAGCAAGTCTCACAGACTCAAATACAAATACAATGGGCCTTTTTAACAGTTTACTATGTAAACCTTTCTGGGCCTTGAAAGTTGCAATGACGTTGCAACATAATTTGTGTTCCGAAGATGAACGAAGGTCTTACGGGTTTGGAACGACATGAGGGTGAGTAATTTACGACATACATTTTTTAATTTTTGGGTAAACTAACCCAGTGACGTGTGATCAAAAATCACAATGTCACCTGTGACGTGAGTATCAATCATTACATCAATTGGCGTCCCTGGGTGGGCGAAAGTAAAATCATTACAGTCTATGCTACATACGAATAGTTGCGTATGTCTGGGAAACTCATGAATATTACTTACTGTATACTTACTTTGCCCATGGAAACCAAAAATCTCGTAACACCTTTCTGTCAATTTTTTTTCTTCCAAATTAAGCTGGTTGAAAAACATGGGATGATGCGAATAATTTCGGCCCACCCACACTTTTGAATGCCCACCCATCATCCACTTTCTGCATCCGCCTAGCCTGGATGCCAGCCGAACTTAGCCCCGCCCACAACATTTTAGGATGGGAAGTTCGGTCTGGACTTGATCCGTTGTGAAGCAAGTATGCCCGAACCAAAGCTGTTCAGACCAATCAAATAGTCAGGGCGGGCTTTATACGATGATGGACAGATGATCAACCGTAACATAATCATCCACGTCACCAAAGAGCGCTTGGGTTGAATTCGTTTACAACAAAGAATGGCTGCCACTGGAGAATTTAGATGTGTAGATTCAGCCATCGTGTCTGTTATAGAAGATGTAGGCAGCGCATTCATTTTAAAAGAGGAACAAAGAACCGCGATCAAGGCATTTGTCGATTGGAAAGATGTTTTTGCTGTCCTTCCTACGGGATTCTGTCTATCCAATTGAGTGCAGAGGCATTTTATTTCCTGGTTCAGTAGAAACACGCCCCATAATCACAGCCCAATGGAGCAGTATCAGACTCACATTCTGACTAGAAACTGAGTATGACGACGTCAGGCTAGCATCCGCCACTGCTAATGATACAAAATAATTTCTTCACTCTAATCTCAGATCAGCTCCAATATCCATAATTTGGCTGTATATATATATATATATATATATATATATATGCTGGACCAACAGCATATTGGTGTTCATAATGTTATGGCTCATTGCTAACTCCATTTGGGGACATCTAAGAATGTCCTTATTTGTACTGAACAGTAATGAAGAAGCAATGAATGTCAATGTAAGTAATTTGTATACAAACCATCTATGGAATGTTCTCGTTCAGATAGCTAAGTGAACGTGTGTGTGTGTGTGTGTGTGTTATTGGGACAAAATGTCACATTTTTGGTCCCCATGAGAAAAACAGCTTTTAAATCAAACTAAATGCTGTTTTTTGATAGCATTACCTACAGTTAACTATTAAATGTAAGACGCGATTTATTATTAATGAAAGTTAATTTTAAGTGGTTTTAATTTTAATTATGTGCTTTGAGAAATTAAGAATTTCTTTTAAATACTGTTTTTGGATTTTCTGTGGTTTTCTGTTTAGAGGTATGTTTAGGGTTAGGGGATAGAATATATACAGTTTGTACTGTATAAAAATCCTTACGTCTATGTATGGAATGTCCCCATAAAACATGAAAACCCAACATGTGTGTGTGTAATGACACTTGTTCAGTTGAGTCTTCAGCAACATAATAGCAGCACAGGTTTTGTTTACTGTTCTAATACAGCAGGAGTCTTGTTTCAGTCATACACCCAACCCTTCATTCAGGCCTGGGCAATGACTGCCTAATATATACATACAGGTTTTGTTATGTGTGTTTTGATTTAGAGATGGCAGATTGGCATCTCTACATTTAAAACATCGATCCATTGTGTTATTAGTCCAATTTAATACAGATTATAATAAATACATATGCAAAAATCCTTGGTTAATTAAAAATAGTCAACTACTGAACAGATTCTCATCCATTCTTACATTTCCTGTGGTTGTTTTTGTTCTGTTTTTAGGTTGTACGAAATGACACCAGTGTGATGACTGATTAGATAAGAACATCCAGGTGGGTTTATGCTGGGTAGTGCTGGTCTACTAATTGACCAGAAATAGTCAGCCTGTCAACAAGGTGTCGTCTCAAAAATAATTAATTTTAAAATTTTGAATCAAGGGAATTCTACTCAGGAGAATCGACTCCAGTAAATGACTTATCTGTGTTTAACACGATTGAGATCCCAAAAATAGCAGGTATTTTGTTTAAAAGTTTAAATCGAGTGTTTTAGAGTAATATGTGTTAGTCATTTAGTCATTCACTAATTTGTTCAAAAAACAGTTGTTCACAGCCATAACAACAAAAGTATGGGAACTAACTGAACATAAACATAAAAATCATGACTTGTATCTTTAAAAAAAGAGGAAATGGAGGTGATGAGAAAGTTTGCTCATTTATGCTTTGCTGAGGCCAATGAGGCTTTTCCAAGATATTGTGTGCTTAAAAATAGACATTTATTTCCATATAGGTAATATCAGTTCAACTGGTCACTGATTCTATTACTGTAATTATAATATTATAAATTACTTAATAATGCACTGTTTATTATAAGAGCTCACTTGGAACTCTTCGACTTCATAGTTTAGGAAGAACGTGCAATAGGATTCGAAATTCCAAAATCTCGAAGTAACAGCTTTGACAGTTGTTTGGTGTGGATAATTCTATATTTTTGTTTGTTTGTCAGGGTTTCTATAGGATCATTTAAAGAACAACAACTGTTTGAATGCGGATACATGAGCGTGCGTGTTTTAGAACTTGACATTGTTTTGTTTTCTTGATGCTGGAATGTTGCATGTCACCATGACTGATGTAAACCGTCATAGTGCCTAAACCACTCTGGGGGTTTATTTAGTACTTTTTTTAGTTCCCTTTTTTTTTGACAGACACTTTGACATTAAATATTTTCCTCTAGCACATTTTCCTCTGAAACACTAAAGTATGTCCCTTGCAGACAGTTGACATAAGCAGATTTTGCACCACCACATCATCATACCTCTGCAAAGGCAGATTATCATCAGCAAAGGATGTACATGCTGTGTTTGCATGTGACATGTAATTTCCCATAAACTTTAGAATCCCTCTTTCATTTCCTTTTTTCCTGTTGGACTTTGTACCTGTTTCATTTGCTTTAGATAGGAAAAACTTGCTTGACACAGACAAATCACACAAGAACAGCCGATGACGAGTATATGTTTTCGTATATCAATTGCAGTTTGCTAAGTAAATAAAATCTCTGTATTGCTTTAGTGTCTGTATAACTATCATACTGCAATTCCCCAATCCCCTAATGAAAATAAACAATTTGTAATGTCAGGCATCTTTAAGTAATGTTTAAAATGCTGTGTGCTTCTTTTTATTCAAGGGGAAATCCACAACATGCTCTGAGAATGTGTGTGTATGTCAGTCTGTGTCTGTTGTCGGGAAAACCTCTCCTTGTTATTCAGGTTTCCTCACGCACCTGTGGGTGTGAAGGGGGAGGAGATTTCACTTAACCTCCCTTACAATCTCACTCCTTCTCATTTCTCATTTCACTTCTGTTGTGTTTATGTCAGCATTGGAGTTGTTTTTATTGGAGTTAATTTTTTTTTTTTTTTAAGCCTTAATTTTAAAAACCCAGTTTTTATGTGTTTGGCAAAGTGTCTGATTTCAGGATTTCAGCATGGCTGAGAGTATCCTGAACACTCCTGACTTGAAGGATCTAGAAGAAGAAGAACTGTGGGATCTTATCGACGATAACCGCCATGCCATCTCTCTCGGCATCCGTCCCTGTGTTCTCATCCCTTACCTGCGCCAGGCACGTGTCCTCACAAACCTGGATGAGGATGAGATTTTTACCAGTACCCGTTTCACCAACCGCTGCATGAGAACCAGTAAGACACTCTGACTTATCAGGGGAGAGATGCTTGAAATACTGTATACCCGAGCATGACAAAAGTTAATGAAGTACAGATATAATAAAAAAAAACATGCTTTCTAATATTTACCTAAAAGATTTAATGGAAAGGTGGAAATTAAGATATTTTCTTCCAGGATTGAAGTTGATGTTTTGTTTTTGATTAGAATGATGAATGTGAAAATTAAGAGTTATTGAAAGGTTGGGGGGGGGGGGGGGGGGGTTATTTTTCTGAAATGTGAGCAAGCTTATGGAAATATGGGTTACATACATATCAGCTGTATCAGAGGTTACGCTGATAAGCAAAATCTTTTTTTTGTTTTAGTTTTTTAAAAGACAAGAGTGAAAAAATCTCAACTTCAGTAGATATGCCTTCAATTTTTAAGACTTGTAAAAAAAAAGTTGATATTGCTTACATTATTTTGATGAGTTCAAGTAATGTAAATGTAAAACGACACTCGGTTACTAACGTAACCTCGGTTCTCTCTAGTAGAGGGAACGAGTGTTGCGTAAGCTAGCTTACGCTACGGGAAAATCCCTTTTCTCAAGAATACTGAAGCCAAAAAATTATCCTTTAATTTTTCTTATATGTAAAACGCATTGTTGCACAGAGCAGAGCTAGGCGAGGCAGCTCGCGTGCCTATTGGTCGCTCTGTGGCAAATGCTGCAACCTATCGATGGACTGGTCATGACGTAAGCACCAATGAGGGCGCGGGCGCCCTCATGTGTCATGTCCCGCCGAAATAGGCGTGGCTTATCTCTATATAAACCGAGTCCAGATAGGGTGTTCTTTGGTTTTTATCTCGAAGCGAACCAGAACGCAGCACTAGCATTGCAGGGTTACGCAACACTCGTTCCCTCTACTAGAGAGAACCGAGGTTACGTTAGTAACCGAGTGTCGTTCTCTTACGAGAGTACTCTCGTGTTGCGTAAGCTAGCTTACGCTACGGGAACCCAATGTAAAACGCTGTGCGTGCTGAAATCATCCACTCATAGGGTGCTTCTCAATATCCCTCCTCGTCTCCTCGATCCTCCGTCCTCCATCCTATGACCCGGAAACCGATCGAGCTCAGCCATCTTGAAGGACATCTCAATTCTCTAATTGCACCGCGAGGATCGAGGAGTGAGGAGGCTTCCAGAGAAGTCATGAGCGAGGATGCACAGTTGTATGCTTTGCGGAAGTGTTTTATCAACTAAACGTGACGCACGTATAAATTCTCCTCCCCCTTCACGTCAGTCACAATCATTTTAATTTATACTTAACCATTGCAGTTTATATAAAGCACACATCTCACATATTTCAACAGGGTATCTTGCTTTATTATTATTTATTACAAATTTCTTAAATAGCCTAACTTCAACAACATAAGGGCAGATCCTTTGAGCGCTGCTGATGACGCAGTGAAATGACGCTTGAGTGGTCAAGTATTCCAAAGTATAAAAAAAGTTTCCTTCGATTCTTCCGTCCTCCTTTTCTTTCCTTGCAGCCTTCCCTCGCATCCTGCAGGGGGTGGAGCTGAGACGCGAGGAAAGGAAATGAGGATGCACAAATAAGAAATAAGAAGCACCCATAGTCCCAAGGGAAAGTGCCCGGAGAACACATAATAGTGAAGACGGCCGGGCTGGAGAACTGGCTCGACAATCCAGGATGACCATATAAGGGAGTGTGACACCTCATATTGCATAAGATGAGTGCTTAACACAATATAACAGTCAGCGCGGACGAAAGTCGGGCTGAGCTGTATAGAAACAACTTAATCAGTTCATCAGACAACAGTGGTCTAAACTGAAAATAGTTTAGCCTGTAAGGCAGGAACCTCCAGGTTGTAAAACCTAATAAATGTAGACGGAGAGGCCCAGCCTGCCGCTCTACAAATATTTTGGAGTGAACCACCACTAGTCCAGGCCCACGAAGAGGCCACGCTTCTGGTGGAATGGGCTCTAACGCCTAAAGGGCAATGAAGGCCGGAACCATAGGGGGCGAGGAGGATTCAGTCTCCTAGCTCGCCTGAGGAAACGGATGATAAGATCGTTCTTTCCCAGTGACTGGCCATGGAAAGGTTCTGTGAACGCTGCTATGGCTGCCACATATACTTTGAGCGTGGAGGGGGACCTGCCCACATCCAAAAGCTCTTGAAGGAAAGAGAGAATTTCCGCAACACCACAGTGTTGAGGGTCTAGGCTTTTGGCTGCACACCAGCCAGAAAACACTGACCACTTAGAAGCATAGAGGCGTCTAGTAGAGGGCGCTCTCGCTTGCGTAATTGTACTCAGCACTCCGACTGGGAGGTCAGCGGGTATCCGTTGACAGTCCACATGTGCAGTGCCCATAAGTCGGGGCGTGGGTGCCAAATCGCGCCCCCGGCCTGAGAGAGGAGGTCCTTTCTCAACGGGATCGGCCACGGAGCTGTGCTCGTGAGCTGCATCAGTTCCGGAAACCACGCACGGTTCCTCCAGAACGGTGCTACTAGGAGCAAGGATGGCTTACTTTCCCTGATTCGCTTGATCACCTGTGGTAACAGTGCGATCGGGGGAAACGCGTAAAGCGGGCGGCTGGGCCAGTCGAGGTGAAGAATATTGGACAGTGCGCGTTCTCTGCTGACGCAAAGAGATCTATGTCCGCTCTGCCAAACATGTCCCACAGTAGCTGGACTGTCTGTGGGTGCAGGGACCATTCCCCTCGCGGAGCGAGCGCCGCATCCATGCACTTCGTGAAAGTACAGGGGGCTAAAGACAGGGCGAACGGCAGGACGGTGTACTCATAAGTTGACCCTCGAAGGCGAATTGCAAGAAAGGCCTGTGGCGAGGGGTTATTTGAATCTGAAAATAGGCGTCTTTCAGATCCAGTGAGATGAAACCAGTCCCTCAGGCGAATTTGCGCAAGGATTTGTCTGGTCGTGAGCTGTTTGAATGATCTCCTCATCAGTGCTTTGTTCAAGCGCCTGAGATCTAGGATGGGTCTAAGACCGCCATCCTTTTTGGGTACGAGGAAATACCTGCTGTAGAAACCTGCTCTGTATCAAAGGGACAGTTTCTACAGCCCCCTTTTGTAGCAGTTTCGCTATTTCGACACGAAGCAGATGTGCTACATCGTTCTGCACCGTAGTTTCGACCCTGGTAATGAAACGCGGGGGTCTACGAGCGAACTGCAGTGAATAACCTCGTCTTATAGTGTTTATCACCCACTCTGACACGCCCGGTAACATTTCCCAAGCTTTTAAACGCAAAGCTAGAGGGAGAATGATACCCGGGCTTTGGTCGCTGTGTGTGTGTAACACAGTTCACAGCGCCTGTCAGAGGGCGCGCGCTCTCTGCACATAGAGCACACTCTGCTCGCTCTGAGTGAGTGTGTGTGATGGGGAAAACAGTGTTTATGTGTAGGGGTGAGCACTGAATAGTGGGCACATTTACTACATTTGAAACACAGGCGGCGTGAGCCGTCTTTATTGATGTGGGCCGTGTATGAGTGAGTGTCACTGAATGGGCCGTGCTTATGTGTAGGGGTAGGCACTGGGAAGTGGGCACTTTCCCCACATTTAAGACACCTTCGGCGTGAGCCGGAAACACAGACATGATGCTCTTTTTGAGAGTTATCTGGATAGCCGTAAAAACGGCTTTTGGGGACAGGCGAGCGGGTCGTGTGACAGGCTCGTTGGCTGTAAAATACATTGCTCCAGCCGCCTCTGCTGAGGGAGCTGTGAGAGCGATGCGCGTTGTTTTCGATGGCGGTCCGGCCGCGGCGGGACCTAACCATCTTCGTCTTCCCAGCATGGTCAGGAAGACTTTGAGGGCTCGGACTTTAGCGCGATCTTAGGTCGGGGTCCCCGGGGGGGAGGCGGCCCGTGGCGGCTGGCCGAGCGCGAGCGCTGTGGGGAGTCTGTAGGACGACGGCGCTGTGGGGCTGGCTGCTGAGGAGGCGGTGGTGCTGAGCTCCGTGCAGGCGGCTGTTGTTTTGAGCGACCTGTCACGGAACTAGAGCGTCTGGGTATGAAATGTCGCATGGCCTGCGACGTTTTCTGGACCTCTGAAAAACACTCGGTAAAGCCCTTTACCGCAGGGACGAAGAGGCCGGCAGGAGACACAGGCGCGTCGAGAAAGGTGGCTCTGTCAGACTCTTTCATGTCGGACAGCGTTAACTACAAATGTCTATCGGTCACGGTGAGAGACGCCATGTTCCGACCGATGGCCTGCGCAGCGGACTTGGTGGCTCGCAGAGCTAAGTCCGTCGCACTCCTCAGATCCCTGAAGCTTTCTGGATTCGGGCCCACCTCGTCCAACGTGCGGTGAAGGTTGGCCTGATAAATTTGCAGAACAGCCATGGAATGCAGCGCTGACGCAGCTTGACCGGCGGCGGAATAAGCGCGACCGATCAGAGCCGAAGTGGTCCTGCAGGGCTTTGAAGGCAACGCCGGCTTCGATTGCCATCCAGCAGACGGGGGGCACAGATGAGTGGCCACCGCTTCCTCGACCTGAGGAATAGCGAGGTAGCCTTTGTCCTTCGCACCGTCCACAATGGAGAGCGTCGAAGAAACAGAAGAACGAAGCCTAGCAGAAAATGCCACCTTCCAGCTTTTTGCTAGCAACTCGTGGAGTTTCCGGCAGGAAAGGGGCGGGCCTAGTGAGCTGCTACGAACGGCGTCCGGGCAGGAAGCAGCCATCCAGCTGACTGGGCGCGGGCTCCTCGAGTGGCGACCAATCCAGGCCGAGGTCCTCCACGGCCTTTGTCATGAGTCGGAGAAGTTCAGAGTCCACGCTCGACCGCACTTCGCTAGGCGTTAGCACGGAAGGGGCGGGCGCCCGGTTCGGGACCGACCATCCTTCACTGCCTGAAGCGGCAAGCGAGCAGGCATCGTCCTCCGCGTCATCCCCTTCGGACTCCAGAAGCACGGCGGGCGGGACAGGCTGACCGGCCGTGATCGAGACGGGGGAAACAGAGAGCGATGCACACGGGGAAAGCGCCGACGTGCATTCGCTCACAATGGTAGCCTCGGGCATCCTCTGTGAACGGCGCGGCCCAGCAGAGAGAAGCGGAGTTGCAGGATCCACGTGGAAGACGCCGAGTCGAGCCCGCAGGGTCGACAAGTCCATCGAGTCGCATTCCGGGCACCGGCAGCCGCCGACGGAAAGCGCGTGGTCCGCGTGGTTCTTCCCCATGCAGGAAACGCACAGAATGTGGCGGTCCCCGTCGCTGAGGGGGGCTCGGCAAGAGCCGCACTTGATGAAGCGAGGCATTTGAAACAACGCCTCGGCTCTTTTAGACAAGTTAAGAAGCAAGTAGTGAAAGGATATAGGCGCCGGATAGCGCAGCAGGAACGGCGGTGAAGCGGCGAAGGCGGCCTCAAACTGCATTGCAGATGGCTCGTCCTGCTGAGATGCTCGTCGACGGCGCGGCTTCTTCTGGAGAGTTAGCGACGTGAAGAGATCACTTCGCTGAAGCGATGAAAAATCAAAGAACACCCTATCTGGACTCGGTTTATATAGAGATAAGCCACGCCTATTTCGGCGGGACATGATGCACAAGGGCGTCCGCGCCCTCATTGGTGCTTACGTCATGACCAGTCCATCGATAGGTTGCAGCATTTGCCACAGAGCGACCAATAGGCGCGCGAGCTGCCTCGCCTAGCTCTGCTCTGTGCAACAATGTGTTTTACATATAAGAAAAATTAAAGGATAATTTTTTGGCTTCAGTATTCTCGAGAAAAGGGATTTTCCCATAGCGTAAGCTAGCTTACGCAACACGAGAGTACTCTCGTAAGAGAACCATAATTTGCGCTTACTAATCTTTTTTTTTTACAGTGTAGGTCACCATGAATTAAATTTCATTATTTTCATTATTTATTCACTCTTGTTATTCCAAACCTGCTGTATGCTATTATTTTTTCAGTGAAATATGAAAGTAGACATTACAAAAGTAGAATTGCTTGCCATACAATGTTCAAAGTGACCAAAAGGCTGCCAAGCTCCAAAAAGGACAAAACACCTAAAAAAAATGTCTATAATAAAAATATCTTATACTCTTTTTCTTCTAGAATTAAATGCTTTGTGTGAGTAATATAAAGTCTAGGTTACTTGCATGTATAATTCAAAAGCAGTGCATAGTGTTCGTACATTTTGGAACCCGGATATAAATAGCAGCATATGGTTTTGGAATGACATGAGCGTGAGTAAATAATTTTCATTTTTGGGTGAACTCTTCCTTAAGGAATACTTGAAAGTTGATTGACAGAATTGAAAATAAAACATTTTAATGTATCTTGCAGTATTTGTGATATGATGTCTGAAATGTTAATCTTTTTCTACAGGTCATATGCTTGACATGTTACGTGTACAGGGTCGTAATGGAGCAATGGCTCTGCTCGAAAGTCTGATGATTCATTACCCAACTCTCTACACACAGATCACTGGCCGCGAGCCCAGCATTGAGCCTTCAGGCTTCAGTGGTCAGTCAGTGCACTTTTAATCTTAGTTTCTGATGATGCATTACAAGCACACACCATGTGTGTTGTAGTTAAAGCTGGTAGCTATAACATTTGTGGATTTGAACCCCAGGCCTCAATCTAGACTTCTAAACTGTCTATTAAACAATGTAATACCAGTGACAAATGTGCACAACTGAATATATTTTCATGTGTGTGTTTGAGGGATGTTTTTATCACCTTATTTAAGGCTAATAGGTAAAACCTTGCTTTTCTGCTTGCCAGGCCTGATAAATTACACTGAGCTGACAGAGTACCTAGTTAGTGCGGTGAGCAGTATGCAGGCAGAGCTACAAGTGGCACGGCAAGAGGCTTTGCGGCTGCGAGCTCGATGCTGTGAGCTGGAGGGGAAACTTAAACAGGTCCAACAAAATAACGAAGAGTTCAGCCAGATGCAACAAGAGCATGGACAACTGCGCAGTCACCTAGATGGTGTGGACTTAACACAGCTTTACATCAATGTGGCTAATGTTTCATTATCATTAACAGACATATATTGCCATTTATGTACATTAAAATAAGTTGTATATCATTAACTACAGTTAAATGTAAGATGTAATTATTGTTCATGAAATTAATGAAAGTTAATGTGTTTTAAATTTTAATTATGTGCTTTGATAAATTCAGAAATTCAGAATGTTTTCGCACAATTAAACAGTGTTTCTTTGCCTGTGTCAAGATTATTTAATGTCTGCTTGTCTTCTGTGTAGGTTTAAACAGGGAACTGCTGAAACTGAAGGATGAGAAATGTGATCTCTATGTCAGATATACTTCAGTTCTTGAGGAGAAGTCTGCAACCATCATACGCAACAGAGACCTGCAACTGGAGGTAAGGAACCATATTTTATCTTTGTCTTTGTTTGCATGCTTTTACTGGAACTTTATTTTCATTTCAGTGAGTTACAAAAAACAGATTGTCTCATTCATGTGCCTGATAGAGAGCAACATTCCATAAAGAGGTTAAAGAGAGGCAAATGTTAAGGCTTGTTAGGCATTATTTTAATTTTTAATTTAAAATGTTTTTTTAATTAAAGTTTAATCTTTGTAGCAATAAAACCAAGTGTAAAATAAATCTGTGGAATGTATTGCATAGCAAGTGCAAGTGTACTTTCATATTATTAGTTTAGTTGAGTTTTGTTTGGTTCAAATTTATTAAAATGGTTACTGGGAAATGGATTTTAAGCTGTTGTTCACAAGAACTCTTGAACCCTTTTGCTTTGCATTTTTTGCTGCATTAAAGTGCCCCTATGCTATTTTAAAGGGTCCTAATTTTGTTTTGGAGGTCTCCTAAAACAGGTTTACATGCATCAAAGGTCAAAAAACACTTTTATTTTCTCATAATATACATTGCACATCACCACATTTTTCAATGATTCACAAATGACTCGTTGGATGATTCGTTCTCTCTAAATCCCTCCTTTTCGTGAGCCGAGCCTACTCTACTCTGATTGCCCAGATGGCACAGTCTGTTGTGATTGGTCTACCGCTTACAGCACTTTTGGGAAACGAAACGCCTAATACCATAACTGAAGTTCAGCTACGGAGGCTTCCTAAAGCTCAGCAATTGTACACACCATAAAGACAGTAATGATGGCGTAAATTTTACAATATCAATCCGAGCGCGCGCCCGATGATGAAACATTGGAAAAACTAGTTATTCAACCCGAACCTCCATCACAAGGATGACTTTAGCTGGACGTTTCTCAGTGATACGCTACTCAGTTTGATGTACATTGTGTGAGATGTTTCAACTGTAATTCCTCACCATCAGCATTAACAAGTGCTGTTAATGCTGATGGTGCATCAACAAGCCGATGTGTATATTTCTAATTTATTGCAGTGCTCATGCGGGAAATATATTATTAACTGTATCAATAACAGCACATACGTTAGCCAAGCACTAATGTGAATTATTGATATAACATTAAAGTTGTAAAAGTGTGTAAAACAAATCTTGCTCAATCCTTCATCATTATTCAAAGTAGTAAGAACGACAGACAATCTGTATTAATAGACGCAGTTTTACGTAATAGTGGCCCACAGCTGATTAGCAGAAGTATTTCATTAAGACAGTAATAACGTGAGTAAGACAGTTAGCTTTAAACTTACACAACATAAAACACAAAACTATGTATTTTGAACACCTGGAAGAAAAGTATACACATCAATAATTAGTCATACTGACTAGGTTGTGATTCTGAGGAGCAAGCTGGTCCAAATAAACTGAGTACTGACACATCTTTCCAGAGCAAGTGCTTTGTGCTTGCTTTAAACTCCGAGATTTGAGAAGCTGTAGTCAGTAAAATAACGTGTTTGAGGGCGGGTCAAGTTGTTTGCGGGCGGACAATGTAGAACATAGCATTATGCAAATGTATTATCTAGTGACGTGTGACCGTAACACATTGGGATACAGACGACTCGTTTAGGAGGTTCAGAGTCGAGTCTTCCTTTTGGGAGACAATAACTTTATTTATCGTGCGCTTTCGACTTAACAACTTTGCAGAACATTTACATTCACAAACAGCTATATTACACACTGCATGAAAGGGAATATTCGAAAAACCATTATAGGGGCACTTTAACGAAACACCCTTACCCTACTTGGCAGAGAGCCATTAAAGGGTTAGTTCACCCAAAAATGAAAATTCTGTCAGTTATTACTCACCCTCATGTTGTTCCAACCCCATAAGACTTTCGTTCATCTTCGGAACACAAATTAAGATATTTTTGATTAAATCTGAGAGCTGGATCACTCCTCCATAGGCTTCTTAAGGGATCGAAACTGACCGGCCCAGAAGTTATGAAAGACATCGTTAAAATAGTCCGAGTGACTACAGTGGCTCAACCTTAAGTTTGTCAAGCGACGAGAATACTTTTTGTGCGCAAAAAAAACAACAAAAATAACGACTTTATTGAACTAATCATTTCCTTTAAGAGTAAAGAAAGAAAAACTGTATAATCAACACACACACACACACACACACACAAAACAGTAATGCTGGATTGTTTTACAATAACATCAGGGCATAATGAAATCTCTTCTCCTCACCTCTTCTCCAGATTTACCAGCTGCAGTGTGAGTTAAGGAAGGCACAGAAAGAGACAGACTTCCAGAGCCAGCGTTCCTTAAAGAATCCCAGTGACACACAAAAGCTCAAAGATGAACTCAAAGCTGTACGCACAAAGCTACTGGAGACTGAGATATTCTCCCCGGTGAATAAGAGACTAATTTATTTTAGTAATATAACAAGTCAACAAATTTTGGAACTCAATCTTATCTGACTGACCTTCACAGTAAATCCGTCTCTTTCTCTTTCAATCAGGTACAGCAGGATATCCTTGAGAATGATTTAAAGGAGACAGAGACCAGACGTTCAGAACTTGCTGAGGATGTCACTAAACTAAGTGAGGAGAATGAACGACTCCAGCAAGAGAAAGAGGAGGTAAAACTGGTCTCTCTTTAACCTTAATGTTGTTTGTTTGTTTTGTCTTTCAAAACGTTGTACTTTGTATAAAATTTGTGTTGTAGCCTACTTTTTTCTTATATAAGAGGAATTCATATTTTCATCGTTTGTATCTAGTGTCTCTCTCTCTTTACCTCTTTACTTCTGTTTACATTTTTTCTTTTAAATGTCCATATTTTTTGTCACCTTCACCATGCTCCCCTCTCACCTTTTTTAGCTCATAGAAGAGAAGGACTATTTAGCCCTGGAGGTGGAGAAGTTGACTGTGGACTGTGAGATGTACAAGCATAGGAGCACACTGTTCCAGAGTCAGCTAGAAGAGGTGCAGGCAGAGAGAGATAAGGTCAGTATCATCTGTGCTCATAATTAACAAATATCATACAAAATCATTAAGTCTTAAATAAGTGTTTAGATTCAACAATGAGATCAGTTTACACGGAAGCTATCTAACAGTACAATAAACTGTCAGTTTAGTGTTGGTGTTTCAAACAAATGAACACAGTATACTGGACCAACATTGTTACAGTATGTAAGTGAAATAACATTTTTAGATCTAGAAACCTACATGCTTTATATGCAGTAAATGCATATACGTTTGGGTCAAAGTCTGGGACCAATTTGAAAATCTGGGATGCACAATTTAAATCTTGAAATAAACAAACTTTTTTTTTGTATTTTTAAAAATTGAAAACAGCAAAGAAAAGAAAAAATTCTGATTCTGCTCTATATCATGTTCATAAATCAAATAAGATAATTTGTGACACTGACCTTGTGAAATCCTTTCTTCAAAATGTCTGATGTTTTTGCTTTTATTGAAGCACACAAGATGCTTTTAGGGTCATTCTGAAATCATGCTGGAAAACATAAATCCTTAGCTTTTGCACAGACTACTGGAAAATGAAAACTTTCTTATGACAGATACTGCTCATGAATTTTTTTCAGGCATATTTGTCCCGTGATGAGGCCCAGGTTCAGATCGCACGGAGTCTTGCAGAGAAAGACATGCTCAGAGGCCAACTACTGGAGCTACAGGAGAAGGTTTTCACCATGAAAGCCTGTAGCAGGGAAAGAGAAAGAAGAGAAAAATCCAGGGTAAAATTGACAATTTTCTATTATAAATTCAATACCCAACATAGCTTACCACAATGACTTTGCAAATTCAGAGTAATTTTCAATATTGTGCAGTCAATTACATCTGTAACCTAATACAACCACATAGGCCTTTATTCTTAATGTTATGTCTCTTGAATGAGTAGGACAGGAAGATCAGTTGCGAGAGCAGCGAGGACCCTCCTCCCAGCCCCTCTCACAGAAGACGGCTGTGTCGCTTGAAAGCAATCCTTCCTGAGTCTTTCAGCTCATTTGAGGTACATTTATACTGTTAATGTTCTACTTATCTAAGCCTAGTGTGACTTATAGCTTACTTATACTTAAGCTGCGCCCCGATTTGCGTACTTATAGATAGATAGATAGATAGATAGATAGAGTCTTTATTGTCCCATAGGGATAATCATTTTCACACATCCTTTCCTTCTTCCATAGCACAGAAATATCACATATGAGGAAACACATATAACACATATCCAAATACATATCCAAATACATATACAAAACATACAACTCAAAAAGAGACCCAGATAACACCATGCACCATTTTATACAGTCTTGTAGTATAAATAGTGTGAGTAGTGAGTTTATACTGAAAATTCCAAATAGAAATACCAAATACACTTTAAATACTCTGATGATGCACTTAATTAACTGAAAAAACGAAATGTGAAATTTTGAACAATTTATGCACTCAACTGTTGCAGCTTTATTTACGTAGCTGAGGGGCTATCAGACTCCGATGTTGAATGACAAAATAACCTTATAAAATCCATACACTACACTGATGAGTACATAGTGTATAAGTGCATAGTGTAGTGCGTCATTTGGGACGCAACATTAGATAGTCTCAGATAGTCGACAGAGAATAATGTGAATATACTGACTCTGCGTAATAATAATGTGGATTATGCATTCTAAATAAATAGTATGTGAGATTAGAATAAGTGTGTCCCAAAGCACAGCATGTTGAAAAGAGTATGCCAAAAGTCCCCAGAGAGTCTGCACTTTCCAGTAGATTTTCGAAGTATGGATCCATGCACACTAAAGGCTGATATTGCCCACAGCTCATTGGAGGATTTGGTTCAGAACTACAAAAACTAATAAAAAGAACTAAAAACATGAAGGATGTTGGTGAAATTGACGGTTAAGAAAGGGCCTTTATTCTTAATGTTATGTCACAGAGTTACTAAAAATCAACATCTAACTTTAATTAAATGAAATGGAGAGTGTTTATAAGGATTTTAACTGTGACAGTATGATTGACAGGCCAGTTTTTGGTGACAGAATGCATGCGTGTTTTTTTGTTTTTTTTTGAGAATGAAATAATCATTGGATATGGCAAAGTTTGCAAGGTTAGTGACATAGTGATTATTTGCTTGAGTTTTAATATATATGCATGTACTGGATCTCAGATAACCCCAGCCCTAAACAGCACAAATTAACAAAACAACAACACTACTGACAAATGAAAGTTTTCTTAATTACAGATACTGCTCTTCAGGCATATTTGTCCTATTCGTTTTTTCCCCATATTTGTGCTGTAACATTCAGTTACAGCACTTTTTGTGTGATACATATAGGCATTACTGGAATGCAGTTTGACAGTGTTAGTGCAAACAAGAGCGCAAAGCACATGCATTAAAGAACAATAACTATTATGAAAACCATAGATATAAAGCTTTAAAAATGATCCTAATTTAATTTAATAGTGGAGTCCACACTTGATCAAGCAATTTTTTTCCAGCCTATGATTGGCCAGTCAAAATCCATCCGACTTTAAAAAAGCTTTATAAACAGAACTTCATTGTCAATTGGTGTGGATGCTAATATGGTTATTATATTTATCGTTCTTGGTGTAAATGGGCCTTTACACTTATATTGAATTTTTGTCAACTGTATATGCAGTGTTAGTAACAATAACTTTGTTTGCATTTGTTAATGTGAGAATGGGCTCTAAAGAAGGAAAAAACATTGTTCTGCCTGATGGCATTAGGTAGGAAATATAGAGCTTTTGTTTTTGTATAGATTGTGTATATATGTTTTGTGTGTATGTGTGTGTGTTTACAGTTCAATGATGAAGTAATCAACAGTATCAATTCCAATCAAGTGGAGCCCCCCTGTTCTGAATCCCTCCGTAGACGAGAGTTACACTTTCCAGATGTGACACACTCCAGAAGTGACATGGAAGACATTTACAGGTGAGCTGCTCATCTGGTCTGTAGCAGTGAACTGTAAAATTGTGAAAATAACAGTTTGGTATTGAATTTTTCAGCTTGGCTACATTAAGTATTGAGTTATTACTTTTAATTGACATTTTATAATGGTTGCCCACTGAGAATTATTACATTATTGTAATAAATTAACTTGATAATTGTATAATCTAATTTACATGAGGAGAAGGACCACTTTTAAACCCATTTTCATACTTTCATTAGTTCAGTTTATTTATAAAGCACTTTTAAAACAGCATAATGTTGACCAAAATGCTGTACAATCATAAAATTACATAAATGAGTCTACACAGACCAGAATCCAAACCATTGCTTTAAAGTGTTTAAATCATCTGGATTCAGTCAGATTTACTGAATAGAAAGTGCTGTTTGAATGTCACTGCATGTGGAATTTGCATCAAGCCCAGTAGACACTTTCAAACAGTGGCTGTTGTAGGGGTGATTTACGTAGACACTACAGTATGAGTGTTATAACCTGTTAATATGGTCACCAAAATGAATAGGTAATGCTTACACCCTGTTTTTGTGTCCAGTGGGAAACAGGACTAAGGGCACTTTTCTTTCTTTTTATTGTTTGTATGTCATCTACAGGATTATTAAACCATCAATTAGTGTTTCCTGTTTCCTTGTCTCTAAAATCTTAATGTTACATTGTATGTGCCCATGACTCAGACACACTATAATAAAACTAACTCATAAGTCCACAATGTTTCCGTATGTACATTCACCTTGTGGTGGAGATAAAGTTGTTGTTTAGTAGGCCTATCTAAAAATAACTTCTGACCTCAGAGAGAGGAAGTTTGCATGCAGATTCTCCAGAGAACTGGTATACAAAATAATAATAATAAAAAAAACCCCCTCTTTGTTCCATTTTCAGCAGTCAGGAGCTGACTGATGACTCTTTTGATTATGTTGTCATTCCTACAGGTACTGTTACTTCCCCCTACATTACACTGTGGTTCCCAAAGTCACAAATGTTTATGCTTTAACTCAATTATATAAAGTGCCCCAAAATACACTTAAAAACTTCTTTGCATTGCATCACTACATATCAAACCAAGTGCCATTTATTTTTGAAGAACAAGCACAGTTTTCAGGCAAAACATGTGTTAGGAATAAGATAATAATATTCACAATTAAAGGTGCTCTATGTAACTTTTAGCGGCCTCTAGTGGTGATGTTTCAGATTGTAACCAAATTTTACAAGAGCGCTCGTGCTCGAACTCATAGACAATACCGTCTATTATGCAAATATCTCGGCGAATACTAGACGGATTCGGCGAGCACCGAGCTCGTTGGGACCATCTAGACGAGCTGAAAAGAACCATATAAGTTCCATAGTTTTTGGTGGTGTTTTCGCAGAGATATTAGCAGAAAACCATCGGGCGCGCTGCAAAATTGCGGACACCGGTGACGTCACGATCTCAGAAGAAAATCGCTCGTATCTCTGGAACGCAAAGACCCAGAGAGCTCAAATTCGGGGGAGGAGGTCCCAGGGGAACCCTTGCCCGAACGCTAGATTGGCGGGCCTCGGGGATGCCCCCTACCGGATCGCCGTTCGCTGGGACCCCCGATTTCGAACGGCTATAACTCGGGGAGCCGGGCGAGTTGGACCTTGGGGTGGGCTCGTTCGAAAGGCCCCGTCCAGCACTACGAACGATTAGAGTCTTGGGAATATTGATCAAAGATTGACTGAGATATAAGCCGAAAAACGTGCGCCTTTAACCGGACATAACTCCCTGACCGTCTACAATAGACTGTATATAAGGAGAGAGGCTCGGGAGCGCGCATGCACGTCACATCCGTTGGATTTCGCGGTAAATCCGACCCGGAGACTTCACATAGAAAAAGGAATACTGGCCTTCAGAGGTAATAGCAAAACTCGACAAGTGGATCATTTTAATGCGTGATTACAACCCCTTCACACACAGGCAATAAAAAAAGGATTCATTTTAGTAGAAAAGTTACATAGAGCATCTTTAAGACAAAAGCATTGTACAATTTCTGGTTGCAGTTCACAATTCATGTGATGAACAACACATCTGATAAAGCTTAACCCCTTCATCGACAAACGAGAAATGTACTATTAAATCAAAATATACTAAAAATGTTTTCTTTATGCTGCAGTATAACAACATATTTTTTTCCATTCATTTACTGTCTCAAAGAATTCGGTCATTTCTACTCTTCAGTTTTTAAACTTGATTTTCTTAATCAGTAATTAAATGGAATACTTGTACTCAGCTTCATGACATACTTCCATTACATACTTTGAAATATCTTTTTCTGAATTATAAGTGGCAATACACAATCAGAATTGAGTCATTTTATTTGGCTTATTGGTATGTAGTGGAAGTATGTCATGAACCTCAGTACAGGTATTCCATTTAATTTCTGATTAATAAAATCAAGTTTACAGTGTGTACATTTTCAGAGAAAAGAGAGGAAATATTCTGAGCATTACCGTGTACATCATCTTTGAAATACAGGATTAAAAACTTTATTTTAAATCTTTTTACATCATACACCATTTCATACATCCACTAAAGATGATATTGGGACCAGTAAGTTGCAAAAATGGCTCAGCCAAGTGTAGTTATTTCTAAGAACAGCTCTAGCATCATTTGTTTGCAGATTCTATTTGCTTTGATATTTTGATAGGTAATGCAATTACATTCAGACATTTGTAGCTTAAATGTCAAACCGTGTCCAAATACTTTTTAGGGACACTCTGCAATTAGGATGAATTACAATACACCCCTTGTTGATCTCCATTTTGACAGGAAATAATTTGAGCGAGTCAAAATCAACCACATCACTTCACAAGAGAATCCCTACTGACAGGTAAAATAAAAACTAAAGATAATTATCACATTTATTTATTTAAAATTGTCACACTGCTAAAAAAAGAATGTCATTTTGTATAAATCTAGCGTCTCAAGAGCATCAGCTCCTCCCTTCCTAATGCGCTCCAGACCTCAGGCCCTGCGTGTCACTGGTCGCGTACTCACTGTGGTTTTCCAAGGAGAAATGCTATTGAACCAACTACAGGTCATTGGGGGTAATAAGACCGGTGTGTTCGTGCATCATGTGACCGAAGGATCATCTGCTTATACCAGTGGCATCAGCTCTGGAACTCAGATACTTCAGGTGAGAACATCTGGATTCTGAACTCTATAATTTTTGTTTGAGGAAGATTTGGGTATTTATAATAACACTTATGGCCGGTTTCACGGACAAGACTTAAGCCTAGTCCCAGGATAAAATGCATGTTTGAGCTGTCTGAACTAAACACGACTTGCACTGGAATCTCTTAAAATATGTCACTGCCAATGTTTTGTCTCAAGATGCACACCAGTAATGTTTATAAAGTGTTTAGGCACGTTTATAAAAGCTACTTAAATGTCCTAATTGAGCTAAAGCCTAATTCTTAACAGACAGGGCTTAATCTAAGGGGAGGTGGGGAGTGGGAACCAGTCTAACTTGATAGTGAAGTAATTTACTCTGAAAAACAAAGTGGAAGGAGACACGAAGAGAATTCAGTTATGAAAGCAGTGGCAGGTCTCTCCTGATTTTTTCAAAGATAAGATGCACTGACAAATAACAGAAAGCTGTAATTTTATCTCTCTCTTTGAATAAGGAAAGATACCATATATATAGTCAAGTCAAGTCACCTTCATTTATATAGCGCTTTTAACAATGTAGATTGTTTCAAAGTAGCTTTACAGTGATAATAGGACATTACAGTAACAGATATTGTTTTGGCTTTATAGCAGCTCTAGAGTAAAGTTATTTTCCAGCTAAAGTTAGTTTTGATTGATTGATTCACTTCCGTTGCAAAGATCATTAGTTATTAACTTAGGGGCCGCTAACACGACACCGTTCTAACAGAAAACACTCAACACGCTCAACAGTGCCTGGTGGCTCGAGAACGCAAACCCTGAAATAGATTCCAAGGTGCAAGCCTTGAAAAATCTTGAAAAAAAGGTTATCTCTGCGCAAACCTCAAAAACGCAAACCCGCGAAAACACAGACGGCGTGCACATGCGCATCACGTGTTTAGTCTATAGGTATGCGCGTTTGAATATATATGTGCACAGGCGTGTAGTCCTTCTTTACAAACCAACCCTCAACAAACTACTTGTCTGGCCTTAATAATTTATATTAAAGAATTATTCATCGCTTCCGCGTAGCCACGTGAACTGGAATTATCCCGACAACGTTTTATCTGTACAGAGTTAAAGGGAAGGGAAGGAGGCCTTCACAGGGGAGAGACTAGTTGACACTTCAGGACTGCGTTGTCGTCGTGTCCAGGCGCAGGTCCTACATCAGATCTGGATATGGCCTGGATCCGGCGGACTGCGGTAAACCTTGGGATAAACAGAGAGACTAATATTAGCGTAGACGCCATCCTTCTTATAATGTAACAAGTACATTTATAGTACTCGCAGGATTTATGGAAAGTGTTCCCGGTTCCGGCTGACCTAATCTATGCAGCCTAACATTGAATTATTATAGAAGTCTATAATGTGTTAAATGTATGTTATGTGTATAATGTGTTATGTGTAACTATATATATATATCCCTGGAGAGAGATATTCAGGTTTTTTAGCAGCAGTTAAATTGAGTGGGAACTAATCAAAGCCAAAATTGTGTATTTATAGCTGAAGTATGAGCAGGAGCAGAGAACTGTACAAATGGTTCTGGAAGACACCACTATGGAGGAGGCCCTGTGGGCCCTGGGGCAGGTCCAGGGACCATGCCACATTACACTGAGACCCAGCCAAGATGGTAAGGGCAAAGAATCACAATCGCACAATCATACATGCTGGTGAATGTGATTTCACCAAATGCATGTTCCTGGATCAACATCTTTGTTGATCCTGGAACAACATTCCAATCAACCAATTAGATTTGAGGGACAAGTTTATGTCAAGTTTAGGCTTACAACCAGGGTTAGGTTCTTCTACATCAGTGTTATTCTTCTATAATTTTCCTCTGATTTTAGGGATAAGTTATGAGTAGGGTTAGGTTCAGGGGTAAAGATAGGGGTAGGGCAACATATTTAGACTGGAATGTTGCTCCAGGATCAACAAATTATGTTGATACAGGAACACGTCTTGGCAAAATTATGGTGACAGAAACGCTATATATTAAGTTATTTATTTTAAAGCAATCACTTATGTGCTATAGAGAAAATTAGAGTAGTGTATGGCGCTGGCAATGGTAAATTCATGGGTTTGATTCACAGGGAATGCATGAACTGATGAAATGTATACTTTTAATGCAATGTAAGTCGCTTTGGATAAAATGTCTGCCAAATTCAAACCTGTATACATGAATGTACTTTATATTTATATTTTTATCTTGGTAAACTTTTACTTCTTTTCATTCCAAAGCATAATAGCATACTTTTTACTCCACTACATTTCATAAAAACATATTGTTATTTCGAACTGAATAAATGCATTGCATTGCGCAGGCAAAGTGCAGGTCAGGTAATGCAGCGTATCTGCATATTAGGCCTATGTCCATTCTGCAGGCATACCAGGCTGACCTGATAAAAGACCTTGTTGAGGGTGAGGGTGTGAGCCCGGACGCAATAATAGAGCTGTGCCGGGCCACAGATCTATCTCTCCGAGCCACCAAGGAGACTGTCACACTTTCATTGTGTTTGGTTTTCATTTTCAAGGACTCTTAGGGGGCTTTCACACTGGCAGTTTAGTTCGGAACGGGGCGCGGTTCACATGAAAAATCTCTAATGTGAACGCTGTAATGCAGACCCGGATGCGCACTGGGGTACCGAACCCGAGACTACCTGGAGGAGGTGGTCTGAGTTCGGTTGCACTCGAAACGTGCCGCGGTTCGCGTGAATGTGAAAGCAACACGGACTCGGGTGCGCACTGTTTCAGGAAGTAAAGTGACCTGCGCATGCGTTTTAGCTGATTATGATGTATTTAGTTAAATAAAACATATGTCAGGGATGATAGTGTTGATGATTTACCTTGGATACGAGCGAGAGTGAGCCTGCAGTGTATTCGCACATAGCACGTGGAATCAGGTCAACAAATTAATGGAATCCACTGTCTCCTCAAAAGAGTCCATTTGCAAGCCGCAGAAAGCCACCTTATGCGACACACACACACACACACACACACACACACACACAGTAAACCCGTGTTTTTCACTCAGCTGCGCATAATTACACCGAATTAATATAAAAACACAATATATTGACCGCATTCTGTTTTCTATCATGCGGCGTGCACGTTCGCGATGACGTAATATGCACGCAAACGCACCAGGGTTGGATAGAATCAAGTTGAGTGTGAAACCAGACCAACGCTGCGGGGGGCGCCGGGAATATTCGCGCTCGGGCTCGAACCGCAGCAAACGAGCCCAGTGTAAAAGCCCCCTTAGTTTGCTTATGGTTTCCTGTTTCCTTTGTCCTCATTTTCCCGCCACTAGTTTATCACCATGGTTATTGATTGTCTGGTATTGTTTGTGCACAGCACTCTGTTTCGTAGACTCTCAGTTTTGTTTGTACCTGTTTGGATTTAGTTTAATAAATTTAACTAACTTTGATTTTGATTCTGGATCACCTTTATCTTCATTGTAATCTAAACGTTACAGAGACGGCCAAGTCAGTCGGCCAGTCTATGGCAGCCCAGGTGGCTACGTAGAAACATCTATGGCTAAACTTGTCTGGTATAAAAGAGAAAGATAAGAGTTTTTTCATGGATGCCCCAATTGCCCCTCCTGGCCTCTTGGGCGACAATGTCACCTCAGTCGTCAAGAGGTTTCAGGAGAACAAAAAAAGGCTGCAGCGTTCCAGAGATATCTGGCTCTTGGCTGAGATCTTCTAGGGGTAAGACAGATAAAATGTATACTTTGTCTCTAAAAAGACAAGATATCTAAGATATACATTATCTCTAAGAAGACTTTGGTGAAAAAGTTCTGATGCTAGTGGTGTCAGGCCTCTGAGGGAAGACATAATTACACCTCATTTTACCGTGCCCATCTCCTTTCAGTAGCTTTGGGGTGCAGAGGTCTTCAGCAAGCCCATATCTCAGTGTCTGCCTGGGGATGTTTTGCGGCACTGGGATGATTGCTCCCTCTAAAGAGGTTCCCACAGCAGTCAGTTTGGTCATTCTCTGCCAGTTTGTATCTTACGGGCGCCAAATTTACTGCTCAAGTTACACCAGAGACTAGTCTCGAGAGACTGGTTTCCTTAGTAGATCTCAACGGGCCCTGCACACCCTAGAAAAGGGTTACAAAATTCAGTTCGGGTCTCGCCCTCCCAGGTTCAATGAGGTCCTGTCCACAGTGGTATGACCCGGCAAGGCCCTGGTTATGGAACAGGAGGTAAAAGCTCTGTTGGGGAAGGAGGCCATAGAACACGTTCCTCCTTTTTTTACAACCGGTATTTTATTGCTCCAAAAAAGAACGGGGGTTTGCATCTGATTTTAGATCTACGCCAACCAAATCCTTCTGTGAAAAAGCTCAAGTTCAAAATGCCAACTTTGAAGCAAATCGTGTCACAAATCAGGTCAGAGGACTGGTTTGTCATAATAGATCTTAAGGACGCATACTTCCATTTATCCATCGTTCAACAGCACAGGAAGTTTCTGAGGTTTGTTTTCGGGGCGGAGAGTACCAATATCAAGTTTTTCCTTTTAGCCTAGACTTGTCAGTCCGCACTTTCACGAATGCGTGGATGCAGCACTGGTTCTTTTGCGACTCCAGGGCATTTGTATGCTGAACTACATAGACGAATGGTTGATCTTAGCTCAGTCGGAGCAGCTTACTTCCCTGGTTGCCAAAACTAGGGAGCAGACATCCTGTTGAGGCAGGGGCTGAGGCCTGGGGAATGGAAACTACACTCTGAGGTGGTTGAGTTCCTATGTCAAGTCAAGTCAAGTCACCTTTATTTATATAGCCCTTTTTACAATTCTGATTGTTTCAAAGCAGCTTTAGAGAGATAACAGGAAAATAATGCAAGTTTGTTTCTAGAAGAAAATAGCGTCACAGACCAGCTTACTAAGTTCATCCAGAGATGGTTCATTTTTGTTGTAAAAAGTTATTAATTTAGTTAATTTATATAAATATATATATAGCCGCTCTGGAGAAAACCGCTATGTCATCATCCAGCTCAGTTCAGTTCTCATATAATGGTGTCAATGCAGATAGATCAATAATATTGTTGAATATTAAATTAAATGTTCCCAACTAAGCAAGCCAAAAGCCAAAGGCGACAAAGGGGGAAAAGGCGACAAAGGCGAAAAATGTGACAGTAGCAAGGAACCAAAACTCCATCAGGTGACAGAATGGAGAAAAAAAAAACTTGGGAGAAACCAGGCTCAGTTGGGGGCCAGTTCTCCTCTGGCCAGCAAATGAACAGTGTATGATTATGATTCAGGCAGCATTATAGGTCAGAAGTCAGATTGGATCAGAACATTCAGAATATTATCCAGTTCCATCTGGTTGAAGATCGGAGTCTATGGTACGGAGACGAGTTTGCTGAGGATCAGTGCCAATGGCTGTTGTGTCAATAAGGCCTTCACAGGGGAGAGTCTAGTTGACACAATCGCTGCTGACACTTCAGGGATGCGTTGTGGTCGTGTCTAGGCACAGGTCCTGCATCTGATCTGGATATGGAAGAAGTTTGGCCTGGCGGAATTTGTTAGCATATTAAGAAACAACACACTGTCCGCTTTGGTTCTCCCTTAAGACGTGGCCGAGGCTACGTGGCTAAAACTCCTTTGGGTGGTATGTCTTTAGGGGAAGAGCCATTGGTAACTTGTTTCTTTCGTGGTGCTTTCAGGCTGAGGCCTGCAGTTCGCACAAGGGGACTGGCCTTGGACTTGGCCGTGGTATTGGAAGGCCTATCCCTGGCTCCCTTCGGATCTATTGAGGAGGTTCCAGCAAAGTTTCTGATGCTAAAAACTTTATTTCTCCTTTCTATTAAGTCTCTCAAAAGAATAGGATACTTACAAGCCCTGTCGGTTTCCCCTTTGTGTTTGTAATATGCACAAGGCACGGTGAAAGCCTTTCCATACCCTACACCAGGTTATGTACGTACCTAAGGTCCCCACTAATGTGGCAAGATCTATTGTTCTGCAGGCCTTTTGTCCTCCCCCCTTTTGAACTTCAGACCAGGAGAAAATAAATCTGCTTTGCCCAGTTAGGGCACTAGATGCATATATGCATAGAGCTGCTCTGTGGCACAAATCTGATCAGCTGTTTGTGTTGGGTAATGTTGAAATTCTGCATAACACCGGCCCTGCCCATAGCCCAGACGGATGGAGAATACTAGAGATAGTTATCAAATGAGGGAGCAAGTACTTGCCAGAAAGAGCTGCAACTATTTTAATGTGGCTGTAGGCCTGTTGACAGCAACTTTTACATTGAAGGTGCAAAAGTTCTTTCTTTTTTCTTTGTTAATTCTTTACATCAGAAAAAAAAATGCTGTTTTAAAGGGGTCATGAACTGCATTTTTAAATAATTTTATCATTTTTTTCCTAGGGTGCACTTGTAATGTTAGTGTGATTCTTACATAAAAAATGGTCATAATTAAAAAATAAAAGGCATTTTTTCCTAACCTTATTTTAGCCCTATGATTTAAATGCTCTGTTTGAAGGGGTGTGTCTGCTGTGTGATTTCAGTGTAAATGCCCTCTGCTATGATTGGCTAACATCTTTGCAAATGAAATAGCTAAGTATTACATGTGGAACCCTCTTGTAAACTTTTACCACGTTTTTACTATTACAGCTGTCAAGGTTAAGTAATCATGAAAAGTGTTGATTATAGCACTATAGATCTATAGCATTATATGATCGTGGCATGAAAGGTTGCAGTAATGAGCATTGTAGTCCATGTATCACAGACATGTTGAGCGCATGAATGTAGTGATCTTGTCATTGTAACTCGATTTCTCCACTCTCGCGAATGCTTTAATCATAACTAACAGTGCAAACACAATGTAAATAAGAGATTCGTCATTGATTATAAGGGGAGTTTTGGTGAGAGTGCAGAACTCAGTTATTGATAAACTCACGCTGTTTGTTTGACAACTCCAGCGATTGTAAAGGGAGCGTTCTTTGATCGCTTTCTATATATAATTTAATCACAGTTTAAATAACAGATTATTTTCATCCTACTAAGAGAAACAATGTGAAGTTGACCGTTTAGTCACTGGTTTGATTTACTGACAAGAACATCTGACTGTAGCTACATGAATTATTACATATCAGAAATCACTGGTCACAGATCAGGCATTAGAATTAACACAGTTACTTACGTGTTGTGGTGTTACTGTTGAGTCCATATTGTAAAAGTCTGCAAAGCTTGCGCCAAAATTGCAACTGATTTACACAGAATCCACAGTGAAATGTACCAAATACAAATAAATAATGCTCAACTGAGACTTTTACATTGTTGAAAATAAATAACTACATTCCTAGCATTAGGATCCTTTGGAAGTTGCAATGAAGTAGGTGTTGATTTTCTTCTGCAGAGGCGACATTATAAATGAGCATATTCTATAATGAGTCGTCCTCTGGTCTTTGTTACAATAAAAAGCTGTTTTTGGACTAAAAAGTAAGTTTCCAGTTCTGAAACTTACAGGATATTCTTATAGTATGATGACCTCTTATATGTCAAATGCTCAAGGAAAATGTGATTTCTCAATTCATGACCTCTTTAACAGGTGTGTGTAGACTTCCACTGTACGTGTTCATTAATTGAACCAAAATGATTTATAATGTTTAAACTTGATTTGGTATGGCTTATTCAATGTACCTTGTAAATAGTCAAGATTGCTCGTTAAGGTCAGAGATGTACTAAACCAAAATAAAGATCTGCTGATTTTCTCCTAGCCTATGAGAACCTTCTACAGCAGCTAAAAAATGGAGAAGTGATGTCGGGTGATTCCTTCTACGTCCGTGTTAATATGACGTTGTCGGGCGATGTAGCAGGAACTCTGCCGGTCAAGTGTAACGACATTGTCCATGTTACAAAAACTCACCATTCCAATGGTGGCTTCTGGTGGGCCAGTCATGTGCACCCTTCTCACCTGGAAGACCTTCAGAGTGGGGCTCTACCCAACTATTACAGGTAGTAAGTTTTATTAGCAATTAGCAAAAATTACATCTTGGCATTTTTTTTTTTTTTTTTTTTTTTTTTTTACATTGTAAAATGTAAAGTCAATGTACAATTTTCCTGCGTATAGTTCCTGGGATTCAGAAGAAAAGCACAAGTTTTTCAATTATCATTGTGTAAGCCCAGCTCAATCGATCCAATGGAGGCATTCGTTATTTCATCTGACTCCATAAATGAAAAGGTTTTAATGATATCTGTATATCATTAAATGTGAGCGAATGTTTGACTATTCTTATAACTCTTTACTGAAAATAATGTCAGAGTCCGTTAAAATAAAATCAAATGTAAAAATATATTATGTCAGGTAAATGTATCATGCCAATTTCTTAATCAGTTCAAAGATAATAGATACAAAATATCAAATGCTCTGGAATAAGGAGAGAAGATGCAAACCTTGACATTAGGAAATACATGATGTCTCGGCGACTCTCAGCATTCATGGGCCAATTTGAGCAACAAATCGCGCCGAGCCTCTCGTTGCATTTCTTTATATAGACAGACCAAGGCAGAAACCTCTTTTCAAATGTAAACATGAGTTCACAGTGGGAATTTACATTAACCACCGTTCCAGACTTATTGGAGGCAGAAGTTGATTTACATGGAAACATTTGCTAACAATGGGAATTTACATTGAGTTTACATCTTTGAGAACAAGAGGCCATTTGCCTGGAAGACCCACCCTCCTTCGTGTGCAATTTATCTCTAAACTCTTAAAAACTTTATTACCTTTTGTTTTACTTCTTTGGGAATGAGACCTTTGTACCAGTCGCACTTAGACATTTCAAATTATCCAATCATGTGTAATACTGTATGATAATTATTCACATTAAACCATATAGATTTTTGGGTGAATTTCAGGTGGTCTCAGCATGAGAAATAGGGAGTTGGGGAAGTGGGAAAGAGATGCATTCTTAGGTGAGACTTGCGTCTCAAATGGAGAGAGTTCAAATGTTAATTTCCAGGAAGGTCCTTTGTCCTCTCAGGGAGTGGTCGTTCCTTAGGAAGACTGCCCGGCATTTTCTAATTTCTCAAGTCTTACAATTGTGTGTAACAATGTGGACCCATTAGACCTGTAGTTTCATCATTTATGCTACCTTTTAAAAGTTTGTGGTCAGTTATTATTTTTTTTTTTTTGCTTTGCAAGAAATTAATACTTTCATTCAGCAAGTACGCTCTAAATTTATCAAAAGTGACAGTAAAGACATTTAGAATGTTACAATGACTTCTATTTCAAATAAATGGTGATTTTCATCAAATAATCTTGAAAAAAAAGTATTACAGTTTCTACAATAATATTAAGCAACTGTTTGCAACTGATAATAACAAGAAATGTTTTTGAGCACCAAAGCATATTCAAATGATTTCTGAAGGACCATGTGGCACTGGGTAACGGCTCCTGAAAATTCAGCTTTGCCATCACAGGAATAAATTACATTTCAAAATATAATAAAATATATTAAAATATTCTGCAGTTATTTTAAATTGTAATAATATTTCACAATACTTTACTCACGGACACTCACACATAATCTTTGCACATTTTTCAGAGCACAGAGGCTGTTAATCAGAGCTATAGAGGATATGACCTACCCTCGCAAAACTCACAGAAAGGTGAGAATCCATCAGTAAATTCACACAGTCCAAATAGTCATTGCAGAAATAATTTTTCTATGTTTCCTTAACTTTATGTTATTGTGATTTGTGTATATTAAGATTATACTAATAAAGCTCACATGCAATTTTGCTCAGTGTTTAAACAATTACACATGAAGTTAATGGAATGCTGCACAATGCTTTACTGAACTATAAATTGATTGTATTTGCTGCCCTTTTGACATGACGAATTAAAAGTTTAGTCATAATTCATGTCATAGGTTAGTCATACAGTAGTCCATGTTTCAGATGAATAGTTGTGAAACAAATTCTTGTCTAGATTTTTATCGCCATACTGTGGAATTACGGAAATGTTCGCCAAAATAATTGAACTTTGGGTGTGGTATGAAGATCTTTGTTGAGTGAATAATAACGTGTAACGTATAACTCTGAAACTAGCCATATACAGAAACCATTCAAACTAATTAAAGAAAAATGAGTCATGCATTCTTGCCATCAAAATTAGAGAGACAGAATTGCACAAAATTATTGTAGACTTGCAATGTTAGATTCTGTCGAGATTTGTCATGAAAAAGCATTGTTAGCACAGATTGGTTGAATATCTGTTACATTAGTCCTCAGTACTTGTTTTCTGTCCACAGGAGAGAACTGCAGCAAATGAGAAGCAGAGAGAGGTGAGAATCGTCAGCACCTGTCAACAGAGCAGAAACCCTCTGTGGGTCAGTGTGGAAGACGACAACAGCACATCACTGGACAGTTAGTACAAGACAAACTCATTCAGCTGTTTTACTCATAACTAGGCATGGGAAACATAAGGCATTTCTGATTCTTAATAGTTCCATTAACAATTCTTTTAGTACTTTTGAGGAGGAAATATTTGAAACGGTGAGATAGTTTCAATATTTCTTTCTTTTTTTAAATTCAAACACTTCTTGCAAAAGTTTTTTTACACTGTCGTCTTAATTACCTTTCACAGACATTTTGGAGGCTGCATAAATGCAACACTAAACAAACAATTTGGTAACATATTTCATTTATTTTAGTAAAATCCTACTGGCTGATGACAACACCACATTGTCATATGTACAACTACTCAGTAACTACACTGATTTAAGTCTCACAAAGATTAAGGTCATTCATTTTCAGAAATATTTAATATGGAACCAGTTCTGAATAAAAACATATTAAACCTTATTCAGTGTGTGTGAGATGCTATTAATTTGAATCATTCAATTAATTAATAAGTGTCAGGCAATTTTTTTAAATCTTAAGTGTCAAGTAAATTTTTCTCTTCTGTAGGTTATGGTTGTGTGCAGAGCAGATGTGTGACTCTGATGCCTTACACCCTGGTCACACCTCAGTTCCCTCCCATCTGTCGCCCAGTCCTCCTCCTTCCCACAATCTTTGGCCATGTCTTGCACAAACGGTTGGCAGAACAGGAAGGTTATCAGCTCTGTGAGCCAGGTAAAAAAAAAAATCACTTTATTTTCAAGCAAGAGGAAAAGAAAAGGGAAAAAAATAGATAAAGTTACCATAGAGAAACCTTCCAGGTTTTGAAAAGAAATTTAGGTTTGAGTCACAGTATCAACAGGTTTCCTTCCCTATCAGTCAGTCACGTTCGACGTTACGTCAGACTAAACTAAGGTATTGGGATCTCGCCTGAGAGACCAATCACCTTTGAGTGGTAACAGAACAAGCCAATGCACATTGGCGAGTGAGATTTGCATCGCTAGCCACTCCTTGCTTCCGGGTATATAAGGCAGCCTGCAAACTCACACATTAAGCTTTTGCTTCAGAGCCGAGCAGGCATTTTTTCAGTCTGCTCTTCAATCATCATTCAGAGAGTCTACGGAACGAGGAAAGCTGTTCCTGTGTTGGTGTAATGACGCGTTTCAGCCGAGGTTGCGGTTGCTGAGTGTTTTCACGGTTAAGTGCAGTGGCTATTCCTCTGGGCGCTTCAACATTTAAAGAGCTTTTTCCCTAAAAGAGTAAACACGGGTGTGACGTTTTTTTTTTTTCAAGATGTAATTCCACCCATGTTTTTCTGGATGCAGTTGTTTCCTGACCCCATCTGACAGCCACAATCTCTGCCTCATGTGTCTGAGCCGTAAATATTCTGAGGAAACATTCGTTGATGAGTCATGCACCCACTGCCGGCAGATGACCATCGCGATGTTGAGATAAAGACTGAGATACCGTGAAAAAGGTGGAGTCCCCTCTGTTATTTCCCGATCTGGTCTTTCTGCACAGCAGAGAGCTACTTCGGTTAATACACAGGGTGATCTGAGTATTACAGTGGAAGCTCTCCCGCCGGGTGAATCCCCACAAAACACATGCTAAATATGTGTCCACCAGACTTTTGACTAATGGATGTTGTCACCTAGAGTTTTTGCTTCAAAATGATCTGAAAATCATCCTGCCTAATCATTCACATAAAACAATACATTGATTTAAATTTTGTAAGACACTTTTTGTTTGGAAAGGCAATATGCGTGGGGGTGTGATTCACACCTGAGAAGACAATGACCTGCATAATGAGCCTTTCATTCAGGTGTGTCACTGAGCCACAAGAAAGAATGCAAGGACAAAATATATATATATATATATATATATATATACACTCACCGGCCACTTTATTAGGTACACCTGTCCAACTGCTCGTTAACACTTAATTTCTAAGCAGCCAATCACATGGCGGCAACTCAGTGCATTTAGGCATGTAGACATGGTCAAGACAATCTCCTGCAGTTCAAACCGAGCATCAGTATGGGGAAGAAAGTTGATTTGAGTGAGTTTGAACGTGGCATGATTGTTGGTGCCAGAAGGGCTGGTCTGAGTATTTCAGAAACTGCTAATCTACTGGGATTTTCACGCACAACCATCTCTAGGGTTTACAGAGAATGGTCCGAAAAAGAAAAAACATCCAGTGAGCGGCAGTTCTGTGGGCGGAAATGCCTTGTTGATGCCAGAGGTCAGAGGAGAATGGCCAGACTGGTTCGAGCTGATAGAAGGGCAACAGTGACTGAAATAACCACTCGTTACAACCGAGGTATGCAGCAAAGCATTTCTGAAGCCACAACACGCACAACCTTGAGGCGGATGGGCTACAACAGCAGAAGACTCCACCGGGTACCAATCATCTCCACTACAAATAGGAAAAAGAGGCTACAATTTGCAAGAGCTCACCAAAATTGAACAGTTGAAGACTGGAAAAATGTTGCCTGGTCTGATGAGTCTCGATTTCTGTTGAGACATTCAGATGTTAGAGTCAGAATTTGGCGTAAACAGAATGAGAACATGGAACCATCATGCCTTGTTACCACTGTGCAGGCTGGTGGTGGTGGTGTAATGGTGTGGGGGATGTTTTCCTGGCACACTTTAGGCCCCTTAGTGCCAATTGGGCATCGTTTAAATGCCACGGCCTACCTGAGCATTGTTTCTGACCATGTCCATCCCTTTATGGCCACCATGTACCCATCCTCTGATGGCTACTTCCACCATGTCACAAAGCTCTAATCATTTCAAATTGGTTTCTTGAACATGACAATGAGTTCACTGTACTAAAATGGCCTCCACAGTCACCAGATCTCAACCCAATAGAGCATCTTTGGGATGTGGTGGAACGGGAGATTCGCATCATGGATGTGCAGCCGACAAATCTGCGGCAACTGTGTGATGCCATCATGTCAATATGGACCAAACTCCCTGAGGAATGCTTCCAGCACCTTGTTGAATCTATGCCACGAAGAATTGAGGCAGTTCTGAAGGCAAAAGGGGGTCCAACCCGTTACTAGCATGGGGTACCTAATAAAGTGGCCGGTGAGTGTATATATACTACAAAATTGGTTCAGAGTTGGAAACATCTTGAATTTTTTTTTTCACTTGTATTTTTGCTTGCAAATTTTATAATATCCAAGGTAAACATTTCTAGTAATTGTGTAGTTAATTCTCATACTTTATTTTCAGAAAGTTTTGGATATGTATATCCTCTCCCCCCTATATTTGTTACTAATAAAACACAATAAAAATAATTTAAAGAGAAGGCTTATATTGAACTTTTAAGATGTTGTTTACATCTACCTTGTAAATATATTCTTTGCTATTTTATTAAAAAGGTTACAATTACAAAAACAATTAAAATTGTAACAATATTTCAAGTGTAATCTTTCTTTGTAAAAACTAAAGTATACATTTTATCATACGTATTTCAAAGTTAAGGATTCATTAGTTTGAATAAAGCCTACATGGGAACAAGCACTATAATAACATCTTAGTTAATGACTTTATTTTTGGCAAAACATAATATATATATTTAACATATGAGCAGAAATTGGTGAACAAAAGCTTATTTGATCTGGCAGTAGTCTAATTTACAGTAAAAACGTTATAATCTATCCAAAACTAGTCAACGAAATGTTGTCTTTCATATTTCGTCTGTAACATAGGCATATCGTTTTTATGTATCTATAGCACGAATTTTAATTTCTTGTATACGCCCAAACTAGTTGGCACCGTGGCACACATAGGGTGAAATCACTCTCATCTGTTGCCAGACTTTCAGCCCGCCCTGACCTTGCTTTTCTACGGGCAGGAGTTCCCCTAAAACAAGTGTCCAGGCACGTTTTTGTGTCAACAGATGCCTCCAGCCAGTGCTGTATGCGATGGGCACGCAGCCTCGGGCTTCTGGATAACGCCCGTTTTACACATACTAAATACTCCGTGTGCAGTGCGTATGCGGTGCGTGTTGCGGTACGTATGCGGTACAGGAGCAGCACACGCTATAGTGCTTTCACATATGCTGCGTGCGTTTGCAGTGCGCAACTGATCCGCGGCTGTACCACAAACACATTTACTCACTATTTGTATTTCAAATCATCAATCAAATCAAGTTATCAGCAACTTTCATTTAAAAAAAAAGGTTTTTGTCACCAGTGCGATTCTCTTTGTACACATATACACTCTTTAATAGATGTATTCACGTTTAAACACAATTTAAACAACGTATTATTCAATGCATACTTTTATATAGATTATATATTAAGTTGCTCAAGCAAGTGGTAACATATTTAACCATGTACTTATATTAAAATCGCAAACATTTTAAATTAAAACTTAAAATTGACAAAAACAACAGACTCATACCTTTTCTTTTGCATAATTTAAATCTTTATACAATAAATCTTGCATGTCACAAAGAACTTGTTTTTCCACCTCCACGAATGAGACGAGTGTCGTTCATTATTTGGCCTTGTTGAAGTAAATTGTAGCTTTCCTTACTTTACCCCGGTCTTAAAGTAAAAAGATGACTGTGAAAAATAGTAGTATTTAATTAAATGCATTTTATGATGAAATTACTACATTTTCATGTCAATTTGTGTTAATTTTGACCACGAACTATGCGCTGTCACTTTAATTCAGCACGTACAGCACAGCAAAAATAGACTCGGTGCGGAAACGATCTCTGCACTGCTGTAAGGGTTAGGGTTAGGGTTAGGTACCGCCCTGATCGTACCGCACCTGGAACGGATCTCCGGACCGCACCCGCGTGCAGTGTGAAAGCTCTATCCTGTTAACATGGGTACGGAAAAAAATACGCACCGCATACGCACTGCAAACGGAGCATGTGTGAAACGGGCGTAAGACCTCGACTGCAGTGGCATATTAATTGCCTCGAGTTGCCTTTATGGTTCGCCTTACTGGCCCACCTGGACCTGGTTCCCAGAACTTATGCTCCTCATGACAGCCCCTACCTGGCGAATCCCCTGAGGAAGGACCTGCTTTCTCAGGGATGGGGCACCTTATGGCACACGTGTCCAGACCTCTGGAACCTCCACGTGTGGTCTATGGATGGGATGCGGAGGACTCAAGTGGCCTACCTCCAGCGGTACTTGACACTATCACTTCAGCTAGAGCCCCCTCTAAGAGGCGTGCTTACACTTTGAAGTGGAGCCTCTTCGTTAATTGATGTTCTTCCTGCTGGAAAGACCCCCTTAGATGCCTAATCAATGTCATGCTTTCTTTTCTGCAAGACGTGTTAGAGCGAAGGCTTTCTCCCTCCACTCTCCTCAGCTATATCCGCACATCACAACGCAATAGACGGTAAGTCTCTGGGGAAACACGACTTGGTTCCTGACTCATCAGGTTCCTGAGAGGCGCCAGGAGGTTGAATCCTCCTCGGCCATGACTCATCCCCTTGTCTTAATGACCCTACAGAGAGCACCCTGTGAGCCCTTGCAGTCAGAAGAGATTAAGATCTCTGTCTTTGAAGACAGGGCTCCTGACTGCGCTCAAATCCATTTAGAGGGTGGGGGACCTGAAGGCATCTTTAGTCAAAGAAGCGTGCCTGGGATTCGGACCGGCCAGCTCTCACATCATCCGGAGACCACGGCCTGGATATGTGCCCAAAGTTTTCACCACTCCTTTCAGGGACCAGGTGGTGAACTTGCAAGCGCTGCCCCCGGAGGAGGCAGACCCAGCCCTTGGGTTGCAGTGTCCTGTTCGCGCATTGCGTTTGTACGTGGACTGCACACAGAGCTTCAGAACCTCAGAACAGCTCTTTGTCTGTTATGGAGGCCAGCAGAAGGGAAAGGCTGTCTCCAAACAGAGGTTGGCCCACTGGATAGTGAATACATCGTCTTGGCGTACCAATCCCAAGGCGAGCCGTGCCCTCTGGGAGTGATAGCACACTTGACTCAGTGTGTTGCTTCCTGCTGGCCGTTGGCACATGGCTATCTGGCACACATATGTAGAGCTGCGGGCTGGGCAACACCTAACACATTCACAAGATTCTACAATCTCCAAGTAGAGACGGTTTATTCCCGTGTGTTGGGTACAAACAGATAATATGTGGGAATGCTGGCTCTGTGTCTCACTTGCACATTCCACATTCACATTGCCATTCTCCTTCGAGGACGGGATACGAGCACCTATCTGCTCCTCAGGTGAGTTCTCTGGCTGGTGAACCCTGGTAGAGTTCCTCCAGTATCTTCAGCAGTCAGTTGCGGCGGAAGCATCTGACGCCAGGTCTAGTACTTGTGTGTATGCCCGGTTGTTCAGCCCCTGTACTAGACTAGATGCCTATATGTTGTGATTCCCCTCCTAGGTGATCCCATGTTTGCATTCTTCCATGGTAGGGCTTCCCTGTTGGCAAGCCTGTGTCTTTCCCTTGGCAGAGTCCTCTCTGCCATCTCTCTAACAGTATCGACTCCACCCCTGCACAAGGCGGGATATACCAGAGAGATCTTCCACTATTTTACTATTGTGTAATTGAGAGTATTGAGAACTTTTACTGTTGTGTAATTGATAGTGTCCTAACCAGATGTATTACTGTGTGGTTTGGTAATCTCACCCTGAAAGAGAAGAAGGCTTTGAACAAAGTGGTTCACTCAGCCAGCAGGACCATTGGCTGCACTTTGCCACTCCTGGAGGTCACATATAAAGCTATCTTGAATCGAGCTTTAAAACTTGTCAATGATGCTTCACGCCATCCTGCAGGGGTCTTCTTTGAGATGCTTCCCTCAGGGAGAAGGTATCGCTCTGTCAAATGTTCTACTGATCGCCATTTAAACAGTTTCTTTCCCCAAGCTGTGATCACTTTAAACAAAGGATCAGATGGGGCGGCAGTGGCTCAGTGGTTCATGTAGGTTGTCTTCAAACTGGAAGGTTGGTGGTTCAATCCCCGGTTCCACCTGACCAAGTGTCGAGGTGTCCATGAGCAAGACACCTAACCCCAGCTGCTCCCGACGAGCTGGATGGCGCCTTGCATGGCTGACACCGCCGTCGGTGTATGAATGAGTGTATGAATGGGTGAATGTGAGGCAAAATGTAAAGCGCTTTGGTGGCCATTGGGTCTGTGAAAGCGCTATATAAATGCAGTCCATTTACCATTTACCAAAGCACTTTAAATTAGGCACTTTAAATTTAAATTTATGTATGGATTTTATTGTACAGCGTTTTACTATTGAGTTTTTATGTGGCACTTGCTTGTCTGTTTTATGTTATGTCCTCTTATGTGTTGACATTGCACTTTGAGCTTCTTGCACATTTTTTTCCAATGTGGTTTTACACTGCAAATGGCTAATAAAGTGAATCTGAATCTGAATCTGAATCATATGTAGCACTGTCCTAATGGTCATTCCATATGTGTAGCTCCACATGTTACCTCCCTACGGGCAGGATGTGGTCTCTGTAGCACTTATTTCTGGTTGGAATAGGCACGCTTTCACAGTGTTATCAAATAGTCTCACTGTATAGGGTCAGCAACATTCTCCATTCAAAGCCCTGTCCTTTCTTCCGCCCCAACAGGTGCGGGGGGACTAGGCTTATATTTATATTGACCAATATGCCCATCTTTGTTTCTTTCTGTCCTGTGGTATATGGCCATCTCTGTTTCTTTCCCTCTGTATTTTATTTATCTGCTCCCTCCTTTCCTCACATCTGACATCCATCTCTTATATTTTAGAATTGCTGATGGCAAGTGAGCATGCCGTAAAAATGCAGAAGGGGGAAATTCTTGAAGAATGTGACCCGAAAACACACCGTTGCTATACACTGCAGGGAGTGGAGAAGATCATGAAACGGGTGTGTCATAAAACATTGTTTTCATATTACTAACTGCCTGCTTAACAGGATGGAGAGCAATTTTATTTAGTAAGTTCAAATAAAATATGTAAGACTGGTTTTACAATAATACAATACAACAATAGGATTTACAATAATTAATCAGAAAGAGAAAGCCATACAAAAAAAGTCTATTTTGAGAACGATTAGACAGTCAGTCAGACAGACAAACATAGATAGACAGACATACAGACTATGATTGGTAGATAGTGTGGTAGATTTTTCCCTAAACCTAACTACCGTGCGTCTACACATCGACGTCGGCTGGGTGCTAATATACTCCAGCGCATCTACACATCAACGGCGGCTGAGTCTAATCCTATACCCTAGCGCGTCTACACATCGACGTCGGCTGGGTGCTAATACTTGTCCCCCTAACTAACTTGCTTCCTGCGCAGGAATAATCGACAAACAGACTTCAACAAATGTCCTCTAAATGCTTTAATCACGGCCTGGAGTTCTCGACATTTATTCAGAGAACTTCCCCCAAGAAGAAGCATTAAGCATGGCTTTTTATGTTGCAAAAAATGACATGAAACATTACTTAATTTGATTGGTTCTTCATGGACAAGCCCTCTTGTTAATAGGTAACCAAACTCTGTTTTTGTTTTCGAGTATAAACATCTGTCTAGTTTCATTTCCCATATTTGTTATTTATACACACACACAGACACACTCAAAGTCACAATTTTTCCCTTGGTTTCGAACAGTACATTCTGTTCAAATGTTAGATGTTAAATAAGGTTAGATGGTAGTCTAACATAGTTAGTTTAATATATAGCCTAGTTTAAAATTTCCACCACAATAGACAGACAGACAGATAGACGTCATATGACGCCAGACAGACATGATATGAATTAATATTCAATTCATTGTAGTAAAATGTTTCTACAGTTTCTATGAAGCCTGTATTTGCATAATGCCTTATGAACAACCTTATAATATGTTGTATCATCTTATAAATAATCACAACAACAGGTCAAATACAGTATATAATATTTACCTATTTGTGGTTAAATTATTATTAATGCATTATAATACACACATAATCCCTTATAAACAACCTTATAAAGTGTTGTATCATCTGGTGGATAATCGTAACAACAGTAATAATACATACTTTTTTGTGGTAACTATTAAGAATATGATGATTTATAACACAGAATGGACATCATTTTATCCACTTAAGTTATAATGGATTATATTTCCCATGGTTTCATATCTTTTACTTTCCAAGTCTCATATCTTGACATTGTTTACTTAAGATCTGCACAGTATCATACTACATTTTATGAAGTAATCTTTTACTGCTTAAAGTAAAGTGACAAAAGTTAAGTCTTCTTTTAAACAGCTATAAGATATCATGAAGGGGTTATAAGACATTTGCTTTGAACATTTTTATAAAATGAAAAATACAATTCCATATGTAAAATCAACAAAACAATATTGTATTGTTTTAAATGTTTAAGAGTTTCCAGTGAGCTTAAAGGGATAGTTCACCCCCCAAAAACATTATTTATTCATCATTTATTCACCCTCAAGTTGTTCCAAACCTGTAGGAGTTTATTTCTTCTACTAAAGATGATATTTTAAAGAATGTTGGTAACCAGACAGTTGACGGTAGCCATTGACTTCCATGGTATTTTTTCCTGCTATGGCTGTTTGATTACCATTGATAACTCATTTTAATGACCAAAAGTCCACATTTTGCATCCATCCCTGATTCCAGTAAGACCATTTTATATGACAGAGTTTGCGGCTTTAAAAGTGACCTGTATTTAAAAATAGTTATAGTTACCTACAGTATATATTAGGTAAAACATATAAGCCATATATTAGACTGTATGTGTGTCCACAAAAGTATGGTTATATAATGCTATCCTGTTTGATACCCATTGTATAGGGCACTCACTGTGTGTTACCGCTGGGTTTGGACTGTGTGCGTCGTCTCCACCGTGCTGAAATCTTCCCCATCATTGTCTTCATCATGTCTACAGAGAGAAGTCTCCGCAAATTGAGGTATTATGATTTTCTCTGTGGCTGTAAGAGCATTATTAAATCTAGCCTTTGCTATAAAGGTTCTGATTTTTAAGACAAAAAAATCTGTTCTGAGCATTACAATTGCTGTATTTATCTATTCTGTCATTGTTTCCTAGACACAAACTACGGCAGAACTCTGTGACTGAGTCTCAGGTGCTGGAGTGTTCCTGCAATGAGGAGCCCCTTCTGGATAAACTACCCTGCCTTTATCGAAGCATTCCACCAGAGAGCTGGAATGACAGTGCCAGCCTAGTGGACACTGTGAAAACTGTAGTGAGAGAGGAGCAGAATAATATTGTGTGGGTTGAGGCAGATCCCTGGTGAGGGACTAACGGGTGTGAGGGCATAAATTCAAGATTCCCTCACTACAGGAAGCTAACTATTAGTATTAAGTTCAATTTATAATTCTGCTTCAGACCTATGCTATAGACCCCGTGTAGCAAAGGTGGTTACGGTGTAGTTTGGTTACTTTCCAGAAATGCTGTGATTGGTCAGTTTTATAACCACAGAACTTCCCCCAGGATGATGAAAAAAAAGTGCATCCATGGATAATGAATAATAGAGCCTGATTGCTTGATGGTTTTAATGAAAGCAGTGAGGCTGATTAAAACACAGCATGTTAGTCAGAGATGATGATAAGCCATAAATTAACATAGTGATCCAAAATTATCATTTGTATATTTGTTTATCCCTATAACAACAATATTAGTCATAACATAATGAATAGAGAATTTTTTTCCTTTTTTACAATCACTGACACATTTCTCAGTACCTAGGTCACTTTTTCAAAACTCTTGACACAGTTTCCTCCTTACCCTCGGCTTGGCACAGCAGTAAATTTTACATTAAAAATGCACTAAAACCACCAAAACGCTTCACACATGTCGCAAATCCAGTCATTCTTCCATAACACTAGCAAAGGTATAATAGATGAACAAACATGCTTTGTCACTCTTGTCACAACTATTTTACAATGTTTTCTTTTGTAAAAATGTATTCACAAAACAAGAATGACAAATCTCTACTGCTTAGAATTTATTGCATAATATGTTGCATGGTCCATGTGTAGGGATCACATGTTCCTACATCAAATTCTTTTGATAGCATTTATTTTTTTAGATTTGAAATATATTACACTATGGTATTACTGTGCAAATGTTGCAAACTGTTGTCTTGTTCAATTTTGTTCTATGTTAACTTTAACAGTTTTGAAAAAAAAAGTATGCAAAATGTACAAATTAGTCTGTAGGTACATAGAGGTTTGGTGGTTGTGTTTGAGTGAGAAAAAGAATTTATGCAATTTGAAAGATGATAATGATAAATGATCCCCATTTTAGCCCACAAAGACTGCTGTTGTGCTCAATGTCTGAAGAGTTTTAAAAAAGTGACCTAAGTATTGAGAAATGGATCGCGATTGTAAACAAAATTGTAATAACCACCGCTTAGAGGCTACACCGCAGGTCCAATGCAGAAGTGTAATGGGCCGTTTCTGTGCATTGAGAGCAAAAAAAGGGAGATCTGCTACAGAGCTAAAGGAAGTAACTCGTGAAATGTTGCCTTGTTTCAGACTTATAAACCATGCGTTTAGTGCAATAATCAAACAACACTAGTGTTGAGGTCAGTAGGATTTTATAAAAAAAAGAAATTAATACTTTTATTCAGTAAGGACACGTTAAATTAATATTTTCTGTTTTCAACTTTTTTTCAACATTAATAGTAAAATGTTACTTGAGTATCAAATCAAAAATATCAAAAGGATTTCTGAAGGATCATTTGACTGCTTGAAAATTCAGCATTACCATCATAAAAATCAATTACATTTTAAAATATATTAATATTATTTCACAATAGTACTCTTTTTACTGTATTTTTGATCAGATAAAGGGCGAGCATAAGATACTTTTGAATGGCAGTGTGCAGTTTATGTAAAAAGTAATGCTACAACATTTGTCCATTTTAGGCATTTGTCTTGTGCTGAACCCTGAGGGTTCCATGACTCATTCAGTATACGTACAAGTAAAATATTTTTCTATATATTAAAGTATTTCTCAGAAATGGGAATATAAGGTGCTTTATTGGGACATGATGGTAAGGTGCATGCTATACTTTATAATTTATATAACTAGTCTACTCTTTCTCTTTAATACTGTTCTACAGTTTTGAATGTTTTGTGCAAAAAAAAAAAAAAAAGCATTTAAACATTTACTGGAACATTTACAGGAAGCTGTAAATCATATCCACTGAGGGATATTTAAATTATTTAAATAAGATAACATGTTCAATAGATTAATACAATTTACAATAGATTAATATTTAATGGGATTTCACAGTAACCATCTGTGTGTATAAACTTGTGGACTTTTGTTTACAGTGAGCCAGTTACATGAGTTTCTTTCAATAGCATCAACGCAAACTTCAGTGTTGATATTACTTAAAAGTGCTGTATACCTCACTCAGGCTCACAAATAGAGGTCTTTGTTCAACTTACGAAAAATTCAAATAAGACAGAAATCCAAAGAATGCGGACTTAAGCGTTGTATCTCAACTGCATGCATTCCGCCAGACCAAACTGTCTTTCATACATTGGGAATGTTTTTACTTTGTAAAACAAAAGGTTTTACTTTTCACAGTTTGAAACAGCCAGTTTAAAACTGAAATTGAATAACTATTGTATAGTGAATTATAGACAATACACATTACAATGTAAATGTTCTCTTTTATTGTATTGTAAGGGGTATACAGTCAAAGACCCAGAACCAGATATGAAGAATGAAGAACCGGAGTCAGAATTATAAAAAATTAAAGAAAAGTTTTACTGAAGATAGTTTGCAGTTTCATCAGCAGAAGTCAGCTTCAAGACTCACACAGGAGTTCGTAGGCCGCCCCGCTTACAGTTACAAAGATCACAGCAGTTATACCATTTCCAAGGTCTAAGCTACGTCATTGCTTACAGGTTGAATGATTCTCATTGGCTAAGAAACATTAAGAGCCTAAACAATTTAACACATGTGAGGAGATTGGGGTGCCTATCGCCATTAGTAAAGATAGTTGTCGTCCACTCATTGGATTTAGGTCTGTGGTGGCCTCGCAGGTTAGAGAAGGGCGCCGGGGTGTCTGATCCGAACGTCCAGAACCTAAATAGAATGTCATACGCACACACACAAATAACAGACACTAGCAAATAACAGCTCCCATCAAGGCTGAAGAGAGTCTGAGCTCCTTATTATCAGTTAAGTATACCAAAACATAATGCTAAAACATTCACTCATTTGGGAGAAAAACAGATAACTGGCATTTACTCCCAAGGAAGGAAATATACTGGAAAGAATACATTTTATTACAACAATTAAAGTTTGATAGTAACGCTCAATATAGCTTGACCATATGTCCAGCGAAGAATCATATGTGCCCACGCTGCCTTTAGGACCCTCTAACCTTTCTACTGATCCCAGAGAAAGAGACAAACGGCCTTGTGGGTTACGTGGCCTTCGTGTCCTGCGTGTGCTACGTGCAATCTCAAAGTAAGATTGGAATGCACCTAAAAGAAACTGGTTACTTGCATCCATGCATTTAAGAAAATATAATTTCACAAGCACAAAGAATATAAAAATTATTATGTGATAATGAATATATTTGATTATTGATTTTTATAAAGGAAGTATATAACCATTCAAAATGATATATGATTATATATGTATTTGAAGAGGCAAGGGATTTTGACCAACCCTTCAGTATATTCTATTTCCTTAGAAATCATATGACATTTGTCTCACCATTTATGTACTATTATTGTATATATTTGTATTCTATTATAGCGTATGTCTTGATTATGTAATCATTTTTATTTTTCTTCTCCATTGTAGGCCAACTTTACTACACCAAATAAACACTTTTTTTCTTCATTGATAAATGGATGAATAAACAGGGAAATTATACTTTCTTAACACTAAGCAAATTTCAATGCATTTGACGTAAACAAACACCACTTGGAAAACTATAGGGGAACCTGTCCAGCAGCAACATGCCCTTCATTGTTACTATACCACAAATGTGTACTTTCCCATAACGTGAGAGATGTTAGCAAGCATTTTAACAATGTTACAAGAATTACAATAATTATCATCACAAGAGGACTTATAAAGCCTACAAAAGTGCTTTGTGAAGGTCAGATGTGAGTCTTTAACTTAAATTATAGACAGTGATATATACAGTGCCCTCCACTAATATTGGCACTCTTGGTAAATATTAGCAAAGGCGGCTAGGAAAATGAATCTGCATTGTTTATCCTTTTGATCATTCATTAAAAAAAATCACAAAATTGTAACCTTTCATTGAAGTAAAACAATTGAAAGTGGGGGAAAGCTCACATTATGAAATAAATGTTTTTCTCCCGTGCATGTTGGCCACAATTATTATTATGTAAAATCTCTCTCTCTCTCTCTCTCTCTCTCTCTCTCTCTCTCTCTCTCTCTCTCTCTCTCTCTCTCTCTCTCTCTCTCTCTCTCTCTCTCTCTCTCTCTCTCTCTCTCTCTCTCTCTCTCTCTCTCTCTCTATATACACTCATCGGCCACTTTATTAGGTACCCCATGCTAGTAACGGGTTGGACCCCCTTTTGCCTTCAGAACTGCCTCAATTCTTCGTGGCATAGATTCAACAAGGTGCTGGAAGCATTCCTCAGGGAGTTTGGTCCATATTGACATGATGGCATCACACAGTTGCCGCAGATTTGTCGGCTGCACATCCATGATGCGAATCTCCCGTTCCACCACATCCCAAAGATGCTCTATTGGGTTGAGATCTGGTGACTGTGGAGGCCATTTTAGTACAGTGAACTCATTGTCATGTTCAAGAAACCAATTTGAAATGATTAGAGCTTTGTGACATGGTGGAAGTAGCCATCAGAGGATGGGTACATGGTGGCCATAAAGGGATGGACATGGTCAGAAACAATGCTCAGGTAGGCCGTGGCATTTAAACGATGCCCAATTGGCACTAGGGGCCTAAAGTGTGCCAGGAAAACATCCCCCACACCATTACACCACCACCACCAGCCTGCACAGTGGTAACAAGGCATGATGGTTCCATGTTCTCATTCTGTTTACGCCAAATTCTGACTCTAACATCTGAATGTCTCAACAGAAATCGAGACTCATCAGACCAGGCAACATTTTTCCAGTCTTCAACTGTTCAATTTTGGTGAGCTCTTGCAAATTGTAGCCTCTCTTTCCTATTTGTAGTGGAGATGAGTGGTACCCGGTGGAGTCTTCTGCTGTTGTAGCCCATCCGCCTCAAGGTTGTGCGTGTTGTGGCTTCACAAATGCTTTGCTGCATACCTCGGTTGTAACGAGTGGTTATTTCAGTCACTGTTGCCCTTCTATCAGCTCGAACCAGTCTGGCCATTCTCCTCTGACCTCTGGCATCAACAAGGCATTTCCGCCCACAGAACTGCCGCTCACTGGATGTTTTTTCTTTTTCGGACCATTCTCTGTAAACCCTAGAGATGGTTGTGCGTGAAAATCCCAGTAGATTAGCAGTTTCTGAAATACTCAGACCAGCCCTTCTGGCACCAACAATCATGCCACGTTCAAAGTCACTCAAATCAACTTTCTTCCCCATACTGATGCTTGGTTTGAACTGCAGGAGATTGTCTTGACCATGTCTACATGCCTAAATGCAGTTGCCGCCATGTGATTGGCTGCTTAGAAATTAAGTGTTAACGAGCAGTTGGACAGGTGTACCTAATAAAGTGGCCGGTGAGTGTATATATATATATATATATATATACACAGTTTCTGCCATGACCGTCCCAGTCCCCTGACCTGAACCCTATAGAAAATGAGTGGGGTGAACTGAAGAGAAGAAGCACCAACATGGATCTGGGAATCTGAAGGATCTGGAGAGATTCTGTATGGAGGAATGTTTTCTGATCTCTTGTCAGTTGTTCTCCAAACTCATCAGGCATTATAGGAGAAGACTCAGAGCTGTTATCTTAGAAAAAAGACATTACAATAATAAATGAAAGTTTAGAATTTGTGGAATCAAAACCAATGCAGATTTATTTTCACAGCCGCCTTTGTTCATATTTACCAACGGTGCCAATATTAGTGGCAGGGCGCGATAGATTAGATTAGATTAGGATAAATAGATAGATAGATAGATAGATAGATAGATAGATATCTACTTCCAGGCCTTTTCTACCACGAGAGGGAGCCAAAGAGCAGTGGAAAAATAAAAGGGAGTGGTTGATGGGAGAATAATAAAATGTGTTGGAGAAAGGAAAATAGATATGGAGACTCATTTTAATATACAAGAGATGGCTCCTAAATCATTTTGCTCGAGTAGTCTTTCAGCTGTTGGTTTGTAGGCTACTGTTGCTTTGGATTCTCTCTTTCTGTAAAAAATAATACTAAGCCAAATCAATGCACATGCCTTTCTACTATTGACTTTAGTATTGTACAGCAGTTCGCCAAATCAATTTCCTCGCTCAGGCTGATTTGTTTTCTCTTGGTTTCACTGGGGTTTTGGAACCCCTCTGGTT